CATCGTGAATCCAGTGTTTATGAGATTAGGGAAACTCTGTGGGTCTCTGCAACAGAGTTAGGCCCCTTGCTAGAGGCTGTTCCAGAGAGACACAATGGAATGGGCGTATATCACCAAGACATGTTGGTGTGAGGCTTTCTTATCAAAAGCTGGAATCTTTTCTGGGCCACAGCCTGACACAGTCATCCCTAGGGTCCTGCAGTGTCTTTCCTTTTAATACTATAGTTCGAGTTTGGCAAACTACTGCTGGATGACTGGTTTAGTAAATCAAGTTTTCCTGGAACATGGCCACGCTCGTTCACATACATATTGTGTATGGCTGCTTTTGCACTGCAATGGCGGAGTTGGGTAGTTGAGACAAAGCCGAAAATATTTACTGTCTGGCCTTTAAGAAAAAACTTGCTGCCCCCTGCTAAGGACTAAGATTCACACCCTCGTTTTCAAAGGCCTTCCACAGACAATTCGATGTCATCATGGCTGTATCATCTCTTCCATCTGTTTCAGTGCACTTGCTCTGAGCCTTGAGCACCCTCTCTGGTCTAACTTTTTTTTCTTTTAAGATTTTATTTATTTGTTTGTCAGAGAGAGAGCACAAGCCAGGGGAACAGCAGGCAGAAGGAGAAGCAGGCTCCCTCGCTGAGCAAGGAACCCGATGCAAGACTCGATCCCAGGAACCTGGGATCAGGACCCAAGCTGAAAGCAGATGCTTAACCAGCTGAGCCATCCAGGCATCCCTCTGGGCTAATTTGCACTTCCTCACTTCTATGCCTCTTCTCAGATTGTGCTACTTGAGAATGCTCTACCCCAGAGCCCTGTAGATCCTCTGTTATCAGTTAAGTAGCAGCTGAAATTCCACCCCCTCACGAAAGCTCCCTGGACATTTGGAGGCTGATTCTGGGTGCTCTGGGGGGCACACCAGGGCCCCATTCCCTGGCAGTGTCACCACAGGGGGATACAGCCCACACAACCCCAGCCCCCAGGCAGGTCTCTGAACGCTCTTTACAGAGCTGGGTGCCATGTTTTGGTATCTTTCTGTTTTCTTTCTTCTCAGACCTTTTCATAGGTCAGATCTTTGAACAAATACTTACAACTTAAAAGTCTACTGAAAACAGATACCTGCTTTTTTGCCCACTAATTTGATAGGCAGTTCTAATGCAGTGAAAGAAATGGGGCCATTTGCTTGGATTTCACTACAGATGGAATTTGGTCTGTAAGAAAGCTTGTCATTCTTCCTTCTTTTTGTGCTGGTGTAATTATTAAGATGCCCACCGTGAGCAAACCATACTGGCTTTTTCTACTCAGGGCTTATGGTACTAAGCAATTGATTACACCTGTAGACTCATGATTTAAACATCGGAGCAGGCCACTTAGGAAAGCTAGGAGTCTTTATTCCCAGAAATCTTTAGAAAAGGTTCTGGAGTTTGTGTTATATACTATTCAGAACTATACAAGAATTGAGAAATCAGTGGAACAGAATAAGACTATTCTATGAATTATTTAAGATATAATGAATGTGGCCTTGTAAACTGATAGTGAAAGACAAGAGTCATTTATTAAATGGAATAGGGATAACTTAGCTTGGAGTAAAATCAGCTTAGACTAACATATAACAAAATAAATTACTGATGGATTAATGAATAAAATATGTTCAAAGTAGACTAAGAAAATCCAAAAGAGAATGGAATTAAGTATGTATTAAACTTCTAAAAAGATAAAGATTTTCTAGAGAGGCAAGATTAAATCAATTGCACAGAAAAGATAAACAGATTTTCATATATAAAAATTTTATATGATAAAAAAAACGCCATGGGGAAAACACACGTGCAGTAAAACTGACAAATACTTCATATCTGTTCTAAATAAAGAGCTCATTCAAACTAATAAGAAAAACACTGGGTTCCCAAAAGATAAATAGGCAAAGAACATAAATAATATACTAAAGAGGGGTACCTGGGTGGCTCAGTCAGTTAAACGTCTGCCTTCAGGTCAGGTCATGATCCCAGGGTTCTGGGATTGAGCCCTGCATCAGGCTCCCTCTTGGGGAGCCTGCTTCTCCCTCTCTCTTTGCCCCTCACCCTGCTTGTGCTTTCTATCTCTTTCTCTCAAATAAATAAATAAATTAAATACTTTAAAAAATAACATACTAAAGAAAAAAGCAGTTAGCATATTAAGGTTTGAAAAAATGTCCATGTTACATGAGAAAAACATATTTACTGCCTTTTGTGTATCAGGTATTTTGCTAGGTGCTTTATATACATTTTCATCACCTAGTTCATTAATTCATTTTTGAAAAAACACTTTGGGATGCCAGGGTAACTCAGTCATTAAACGTCTGCCTTCGGCTTGGGTCATGATCCCGGGTCCTGGGATCGAGCCCTACATTGGGCTCCCTACTCGGGGGAAAGCCTGCTTCTCCCTCTCCCACTCCCCTTGCTTGTGTTCCCTCTCTCTCTGTGTCTCTCTCTCAAATAAATAAATAAAATCTTAAAAAAGAAAAAAAAGACACTTTGCAGTTATAATTATAGTATCATACAGTGTGTGTCCTGAAAGTACCTTTAGGAAACGGGTAGTCCAAGTAGTGTTTGTTTTTTTTTTTTGAAGATTTTATTTATTTATTTGTCAGAGAGAGAGAGGGAGAGAGAGAGCATGAACACAGGCAGACAGAGTGGCAGGCAGAGGCAGAAGGAGAAGCAGCCTCCCCGCGGAGCAAGGAGCCCGATGCAGGACTCGATCCCAGGACACTGGATCATGACCTGAGCTGAAGGCAGCCGCTTAACCAACTGAGCCACTCAGGCGTCCCCCAAGTAGTTTTTAAATTTTATCTTACTGTTATTTATTTCCATGTTAACATATTCATATGGTTCAAAATTTAAGAATATGAAAAGTATATAGTGACAAATCTTCCTCTTGCCTCTGACCCTCCATTTCTCTCCCTGAGAACAACCGCTGTTAGTTTCTTATGTATCCTTCAGAGCTAGTCTATGCATACAACAGCAGAATAGCTCCTTAGAACACACAAATATCAAAATGTTATACCAACAGTTCTACCCCTTGCTTTTTTTTTTTTTAACATTTTTTAAAAATTTATTTGACAGAGAGAGAGAGACATCACAAGTAGGCAGAGAGGCAGGCAGATGGGGAGGGGGAAGCAGGCTCCCCGCAGAGTGGAGAGCCTGATGCAGGGCTCGATCCTAGGACACTGAGATCACGACCTGAGCCGAAGGCAGAGGCTTAACCCACTGAGCCACCCAGGTGACCCTGCTTTTCCTTTTTTAAGATTTATTTATTTATTTGACAGAGAGAGGTCACAAGTAGACAGGCAGGCAGAGAGAGATGCGGGGGAAACTGGCTCCCTGCTGGGCAGAGAGCCCGATGTGGGGCTTGATCCCAGGACCCTGAGACCACGACCCGAGCCGAAGGCAGAGGCCTAACCCACTGAGCCACCCAGGCGCCCTATCCCTTGCTTTTTATGCTTAACAATATGCATCTGAGGGAACCTTCTATATCAGTACATTAAGATTTTTTTATACCTGCATTGTACTCCACTGTACCATAACTTATTTGACCAGCTTCTGCTGATGGACATTTAGGTTGTTTCCAGTATTTTGTGTTTCTAAACCATTTCACAGTAGACAGTATAGCTTGCCTCATACAAAGTAACTTTGCACAAGTATGCATCAGTAGGGCCCATTCCTACAGGTGGAACTGCTAGGTGAAAAGGTATCTGTGTTTGTCATTTTTTGACACTGCTCCATTGCGCTCCATAGAACTGTACTAATTTCCAGTTCCACCAACGTTGTATGAAAGTGTGAAAGGGACTATTTCCCTCACTTTCACTATTCTAGTGAATTATCAAATTTATCTTTGCTAATCTTAGAGTGAAAAATGTCTCTTTGATGGAGTTTTAATTTTCTCTTATGAGTGATGCTAAGAATCTTATATCAAAGCATCATTGTATTTCTTTCTTTCTTTTTTTTTTAAGATTTTATTTATTTATTTGACAGACAGAGATCACAAGTAGGCAGAGAAGCAGGCAGAGAGAGGAGGAAGCAGGCTCCCTGCTAAGCAGAGAGCCCGATGCGGGGCTCGATCCCAGGACTCTGGGATCATGACCTGAGCCAAAGGCAGAGGCTTTAACCCACTGAGCCACCCAGGCGCCCCTGTATTTCTTTTTCTATAAATTTTCCATTCCTGTCTTGTTTACCTGTTTGTCTTTTCATTAATTTGTAGTATGTTTTAGAAAAATAACTTCTGTAAGTTTCAGGGTTTTGGGAAGGTTTTTGTTCTTTATTTTCCTTTCCTTTTCTTTTTTTTTTTTTTTAACCAGTTTTCTTTTTGCCTTTGACCTTAAAGTGGCTCATTTTTAGAAATGCACTTTCTCACTTCTCAATCTCACTTCTCAATCACTAAGACACTGAGCCTTAGGGATTGAAACTTTGTACAAAAGGTACTCAGCTTATCAGCAGCAGGGTCAAAGCTGGGCTTAGGTTGTCTCCCTCCCAATACAGTGGGTCTTGGTTCTCAGAATGCCTGATTTGTACAGATACGGGATTGAGTCAGTGAATTCCCCCTTGCCTAAAAAGAGAGACTGGATTGGGAGTGCCTGGGTGGCTCAGTTGGTTAAGCATCTGCTTTTGGTTCAGCTTATGATCCCAGGGTCCTGGGATCAAGCCCCATATCACGCTCCCTGCTCAGTGGGGAGTCTGCTAGAGATCTCCCTCCCTCTGCCCCTCCGTTCATACTCATTCAATCATGCTCTCTCTCTCTCTCTCTCTCAGATAAATAAATAAATAAATAAAATCTTAAAAAGAGAGCGAGAGAGACTGGATTGGAGCTGCATCCTTAATCAGAGACAAACTCAGCGTAACCCTGGGAAGAAGGACCAGCTGTCCCCGCTCCACCTCATAGTCTGTATCACCAGCACCCCCAGCTGTCTCCCGCTTGGCCCTTTGTCTTAACTCTTCTTTTCTTTTCTTCTCTTTTCTCCTTTCCCCTTCTAGCAGTCATTAGCCAAACCGGCTTTTTTCCGGCAAAATTCAGAGAGGAGGAACTTCAAACTGCTGGACACTAGGAAGCTGAGTCGGGATGGATACGGGTCCCCTTCCAAAATCAGCCCCCCCTCCACTCCCAGCAGCCCTGATGACACTTTCTTTAACCTTGGAGACCTGCAGAATGGCAGGAAGAAGAAAAAGATACCCAAGGTAAGGCTTGCAGCAAGCTTCATGTGCAGATGCGCACTTTCCCTTCCCTGCAAGGTTGCGGAGGAGTGTGGGCACGGAACTCTGGCCCTCTTCTACCTGCTTCATCACAGACCAGGTAGACACTGTGAGCCTGCAGGACTGGGTTATCCGGGCTATCTGCGGTTCTGTAGCCGTCCCCTTAGCCATTCTTGTCCCAGCCTAACCTCTCATTATTCTCGTGATCCCAGACCATGTTTCCAACACCCGGCCTCAAAAGGCCATTTCCTCCTCCTTCACGGCTTCAAAAAGTAGAGCTCCAGTCATCACACTCGAACTCACACTCTGCCCAACACTGGATGCAGAGGCCATGCCATGTGGAGCCTGTGTTCTGAGGCAACACTTGTCAAAAGTACATCTTTCCTCGCTCTTTTCAACCTGAAAGGTAAAACGTGCCCAGGGGATGTGGTTCCTCATGCGTCTGCTAGTGACTCGGTTCCCTTTTGCACTATTCCAGCCCTGCAGTGCTGGTCCCTGTGCAGTGGTAACTTTGGTACCAACTTCGTACGGGAACTTTTAGAACAGGGATTCTTCATTTCAGGGTATGTGGATGGATGGATTGGATTTAGGGATCACGAAACCCAGAAAACTGCATAAGACTTTGTATTGAGAGTTTTGGAGGATGGAGGGAGGCAAGAGGGGGAAGATTGTAGGTTTCATCAGATTTCTCAAAGTGATGCATTGACCTGAAAATCATGGGACATTTGCAAGCTGGTTCCTCCTAACAGTTTGGTTAGTCAGTATTTTGAGCCATAATTTTACCCCTACCACAGCCGTCCCCAACTTTCTCATTCAAATGAAGTTAAGTCACCTTGCCCATCAGAGTACCTTCTGAAGAGTAAGGGCCGTGAGGGTCCTGTGGTTGAGAAAACACCTGTAACCTGCAGCCTGGTCAGAGGGGACTTGTAATTGGAACAGGAGAGAAGCCATTTTCCTTTGTTTTGCTGATGAAGGGCAGACAAAGGGACCAGGACGGGAGCCTACCCCTTCATGTTCTCCCCATTGACCTTGTCCTACCTAGGGCCCAGGGTGTGGAGCAGGTTGCATATTGATTATTTGATGTTTGCTGAATGAGCTCCACTAACCCATGGACCCCAGTCTCTTTCAGCATGGATTCACTCCCATGCCTCCCCTTGGCTGCCCTCCGAGGTCACTGTCCTCTGCCATCATGGTAGCCACTCCCTTAACTCCCCTTCTGCTTGTTCTGGCATCATTATGGGTATCTATAAGGTCAAAATGCTACAGTTGTGGAATAATTAAAAGTGGCTACTCACATCCATACTGCCAGCCTCACCATCATTTTAGCAAATTAAACAGGGATAATCAAATGAATTAGCTGTTGGGTTAAAAGAGCTTTAACACAACTCTAAGTTTGAGTACGTGATTCTTTTTTTTTTTTTTTTCTTTTAAGATTCTATTTATTTATTTGAGAGAGTGAGAGAGAGCACGTGGGGGTGGGGCACAGAGAGGGTGAATCTAAACCAGATGCCCTGCTGAGCGTGAAGCCCAACATGGTGCTGGATCCCCCGATCCCAAGGTCATGACCTGAGCCAAAATCAAGAATCGACATGTAGGGACACCTGGGTGGCGCAGTCGGTTAAGCATCTGCCTTAGCTCAGGTCGTAATCCCAGGGTCTCTGAATCAAGTCCCACATAGGACTCCTTGCTCAGTGGGGAGCCTGCTTCTCCCTCTCACTCTGCCACTCCCCCTGCTTGTGCACAATCTCTCTCTTTTTCTCTCTCTGTGTCAAAATAAATAAAATCTTTAAAAAGAAAAAAGAAAAAAAAGAATTGGCACTTAACCTACTGAGCCATCCAGGCGCCCCCTAGTACAGAAACAACAAAACTTAACTCCTGTTAAAATACAATTATGTGAGAGCATGTTTAAAGCTTTCCTCTCAGGGGAAAATTTTTTAAATAAAAAGGAACAAAGGGGGACGCGTGGGTATCTCAGTCGGTTGGGCTGCCTGACCTTCGGTTCAGGTCATGATCCCAGCGTCTTGGGATGAGTCCCGCATTGGGCTCCTAGCTGGGAGGGGAGCCTGCTTCTCTCTCTGCCTCTGCCTGCTTGTATTCTCTCTCTCTCTGATAAGTGAATAAAATCTTTAATTAAAAAAAAAAAAAGGAACAAAGATTTATTGAGTGGTGTATATATGGCTTCCACTTATTCCATGACCTGATTTAAGTGAGAGGAACGTTCTCTGTCACGTCATTTATACTACCCACATGGCACTCAGAAACTGTCTTGTACGATAGCTATGAATGCATCCTGGTCCTTCCTGTAAGCTTGTAAACTCCCTGAGAATGGAGGCCATGTCCCATACATCTTTTTACCACCCCCCCCCAGCTTCTAGCAAAACCCCTTGTACATAGGGGACGCTTAGTATTCATCCAACAAATTCACAATCAACAGATCCTTGTTGACTACCTACCACGTGCTGGGCGCTGTTCCAGCTCATACAGGAACTGTCATCGAGCAGCAAACAGAAGTGACCAAGATACCCACCTGTGAGGAACTCACGTTCCGGTGTTCACTGCATTTTAGTAAGTGGAAGGGTGTTACCTCCATCGTAGCAGTCTTCTTTCTGGTTCATTGGATATTGGGTGAGAGGAGGCCAAATGGGTTTAAAAATTCTCCTCCCAGAAGAACCACAATTTGACCTAGTAACTCATTTGTTTATTTATATATTTTTAAATTGTGGTAAATAAATATATATAACATAAAAACTGCCATTTCAACCATTTTTAAGCATACAGTTCAGTAACATTAGTGCTTTTACACTGTTATACAGCCCATCACCAGCATCCATCTCCAGAACTGCTCATCTCCCTAGACAGAAACTGTGCGTTTTGCCCTCCCCCCGCCTCTGGCAACCACCATTCCATTCTCTGTCTCTATGAATGTGCCTGTTCCAGGTACCTCCTGTAAATGGAATCATACAGTATTTGTCCTTTTATGACTGACTTATTTTTCTTAGCAGAACATCCTCGGGTTTCATTTATGTTGGAGCGTGTGTCCAAATTCCCTTCCTCTTGAAGGCTAAATGATATTCCACTGTGTGTACATGCCACATTGCATTTACCCGTTCATCCCTTGATTGACATTGGGATGTTTTCATTTCCTGGCTGTTGTGAATAATACTAACATCTCACGTATGCATTGTCTTCTTCCATGGGGAATGGGGTTAGCGTCAATATTCCAGTGGTTAGGATGTGTGTAAAAAGAAAAAAGGGCCGGCTCAGTGGTATGAACTCCAAGGAACTGGCCGGTTCCTAAGATCAAACGTAAATAACGGCCACATGGCAGGGATTTGGTGGTGAAGGCATGTCATTCAGATTCAAGGCAAAGCCAGCACTGGGTTGGGGATGAGGAGTTCACAACGAGAACTGGCAGGGCCAGGGCTGGGACACCTGTCAGGATCCAGAGTACGTGGGTGACCAAGGATATGGCAGGGCAGTGTCTTAGTCTGCAGAACTGGAGGGCGGGGGCCCAGGACCACCACAAGGAGACCTGGAGGGTGAGCCACCTTCCTCCACTGGTGGTCCAGCGCTCTGGCCTGTGGCGAGGAGCTGGTGAGCTACTTCGGGCAGTGGGACAGAGAAGCAGAGGGTGGAGACAGGGATTGGCAGCAGCTAACCCACCGCACCCACCTGCGTGCCCATCGCCCAGTTCACTACAGCCCATCCTCTCTCCAGTTCTTCCATGGCCAAAAAGAATATAAACTTTTCAAGGCAGCTTTCAAACCCAGCTCCCCTTTAAAATCACCTGTTGGGGGACACCTGACTGGCTCACTCGGAGGAGTGTATGGCTCTTGATCTCAGAGTCATGGCTTCGGGCCTTCGAAGCCTCACGTTGGGTGTAGAGATTACTAAAGAAAATAAACTTTAATTAATTAATTTAATTAAAATCCCGAGTTGGTTTGTCTCGACTGGGCATGGGTAGACTTCCCTTTCTCGCAACCAGGTGGAGCCCAGGAAGCTTCCACTCTTGAAATTTGCAGGCGGTGCTGTGAAGCCTGGTGGGAAGTGCCGCAGGGCTTCTGTCGCCAGATGGGTCTGTTAGAGTCAGCCTGGAAAATGTGCTGCTGCGTGGTGGGGTCTGCTGCGCAGCCCGGGGAGATCATGAAAGGCCTCCCTGAGTGTGGATGAGCGCTGCCCTGCTAGAGGGGGTGTGCTGGGTTTGCTGGGTTCAGGGCAGGACCATGCAGCCCCAAGCTAGAACTCAAAATCCCCCATAATCCCTGCCCCCTTGCTGCCCGGTGCTGCTCAGACGGTCTTTGGCACTGTTCCGACAGAAGGGGCCCTGCCTGGGAGGTTTTTATTTTTGCTGTCTGGGGTTTTGTTGGTTTTTTTTTTTTTTTTCCCCTTGGGAGGAGCAAAAGCTGCTCCCAAACTGCAGAGACATCACGGCATCAAAGGGGGAGCGGCCATCCCACGATTAGCCAATGAAATCGTCTCCTGTGTCTCAGCTGTATGCGTTAGTATATTTCGACATCACCCGTCCATACATCAGTGAGGCTGGCAGCCTCCTTTAGTGTTCTCAAAAGTCACATTCCTGTCTGATAGAAAAGAATAGTTGAAAGATGACAGTGGACCAGTGGGAAATGGCCCCCTCCTTCTTTCCCCCGCCGTCCATGGTCCCAGAAGAGAATGAGCAGCAAAGAAACCCCAGCTGCACATGGAGAGGAAGCTGCTAACACTGGCTTTTCTTCTCCTGGTGTCCGGCAGCTGGTGTTGCGAATCAATGCCATTTATGAGGCCCGGAGAGGAAAGAAGCGTGTGAAGAGGCTGTCCCAGTCAACGGAGAGCAACTCAGGAAAAGGTAGAACCCCCGCCACCGCCCCAGCTCCCCCCACAATGTGAAAAGAGGCTCCCTGTTGTTTTGGGCTGGCTCACCAAACAGGAGACCAAGTCGGTGCTTTGTCAATACCTCCTGTTGCCCTGCAACAGCGAAGAGCTGGGAAGGAGCTCAGCCTGGTGGTGCATCCTCTGGTCCTGTTTCACTGTCTGTCCGTCAAGCCAGCCCAGCGCTGCAAGCTCTGAGCTCACGCTGGGAGCCGCCTTCTTTGCTTCGGGTACATAAAAGAAACCAGTATCTGCTCTATTACTGGATATAAGTACCATCTGAACTAGAGCCACATGAATTTGGAAATTGCATTTAGTTGGACGAAGACATCCTTTATCTATTACATCTAAATCAACAGAAAGAAAATAGCCCCTCTGAAGTTGAAATCTTGGATATGGGTCATTTCATACAAAAAGTTTCCTGTATTAGAAAAACTTTCTTCCTGTTGCCATTTTTTGTTTGTTTGTTTTTCTGTCTAGTGACAGATGAGAACAGTGAGTCTGACAGTGACACAGAAGAGAAGCTGAAAGGTGAGAAGACCAGCTGCGGTGCAGGGCACAGGCAGGGGGCTGGGGAGCTACCGAGATGGCCCTTCCTGCTTAATGTGAGGGAGGGCACAGAGCGTCCTTGCACGAGCTCGTAGGGCAAGGTGTGAATGTCTAAGGGGACAAGGGGACCCACAGGGTGCGTGGGGGCAGGTCAGCCCTGGGCAGGACCAGCATGGGCCTGTTCAGTCACTGAGCCTGTGGGTCCAGAGATGCAGGGGGGCTACAAACACATTAGCCCTTCCCCGTGTCTTTCCGTTACAGGTGTTTTCCACACCTGGAAAGTATAGCACTGCTGGCCTGGAGTTCTAGATACCTGGGCTCTTGTCCTACTCCTATGAAAACTGCTAAAAGAACAGGAGGAGATCACTTGAGATCTCAGGGCCTCTAGTTCCTCATCTGTCAAGTGAAGTCACTGAAGTAATTGGTCTCTGTAGATGTAAATTTGGTGACCTTGGTCTAGGCTTTAGTGAGTTTTCCACAACTTCTCAGACCACAGGGGGAAGCCCAAGGGAGCCAGAGTCCAGGCCTGCTGAGTGAGGTGACGGGACCCGTCTGGTCAGCAGCCCTGCTTCACTCATGTCTCCCCCACAGCTGCTTTCTGGCCCACCTCTAGGATGAAGCAAGCCCTTTTCCATCACAGAGAACGAACAACTGCAGGAGGGAAGGTGGCGGGAGCTCCCGAGTTAGTCATGGCTCTGCCGGGTCTGTCCTGCAGATGATGACAAAATCCCCCCACTCCCAAAGCTCTGTGGTCTGGATTTTGTCACATCTCACAAACTGAAAGATGAAGGGAATGTGTGAAGGGAGACGTCAGTGTCCCCACCCCATCTGACAGAGGGCCACAAGGATGACTCAAGCTGCTGCCCCAAGTCCACCCAGCTAACCCATGGCAGAGCAGAGCCCCGCGTTCCAGGCTTCTGCACGCCCATTAGCCTGGCGGCCCCTCTGGTGGTGCTCCTCCCTGAAGTCTGGCAAGGACCCCAAACAAAGAGTTTCCTACTAATTTGTTAAATGTGGGAACACTTTTGGGGAATGGGAAGGGGTACTCTGGGCTGAGAACCACACAAGCTGTCACGGATCTGTGCAGTTCCACATTGGAAAGAGTCGCACCCAGGCGCTCACTGTCCTCTCCCCAGCTCACAGCCAGCGCCTGGTCAATGTGAAGTCCCGCCTGAAGCACGCTCCCAGATACCCCTCCCTGGACCGGGGGCTCACGGAGTACCAGCAGAGGCAGCTGTTCGAGTACTTTGTGGTCGTGTCCCTGCACAAGAAGCAGGCCGGGGCTGCGTATGTGCCAGAGCTCACCCAGCAGTTCCCGCTCAAGGTACAGAGCGGTCCATAGCCCTCATGCCATCTTGTTGGGACTCACGGTTTCCGGGAGGTGTGGGAGTCTGAGGAGCACTCAGTGTCTACAGGCATGGACCATGAGTCCTCAGTAGGGTATAGCAAATGAAAAAAGCTGCTGCTTGAGAATTTGGGAGGTCCCAGGAGGTGAGGAATTCAAAGACTCAAAGTACAGACAAAAACATTTACTCACTTCCTGTGGTGACTCTGCTGGCCATGCCATCCTCGTCATCCTCCCTGTCTCCTTGTCCAGCCACATCTCTTCCCGAGCTGTCCTAGAAGCCTCTTTCCCACCAGCCACACAGCTCTTGCCAGGGAGGGCTGTGTTTGTGTCCATGCTGAACATCTGTACGCGTACCATGTACCCCCCAGGTGTGTGCACGAGAGTCCTGTTCTGTTCTAACACGGTTCGTGGAGTGGCCCTCAGCAAAGCCTAAAATGGCATGACCAATAATGTAGAAATTATTTTTAGGCTTTGGCTTCAGGATTAAAGAGGCTCTATTCAGCCTAACCAGAATTTACCGAGACCTTATTACATTCAAGCTGTTTTCTGCTTGGCCGCATCATTACAGAAATGAGCAAAATGTGTTTGCTGTCCTCAAGAGGCTCACACTCTGACAGGAGGGCAAAAGATAAGCATACAAAGACTCATGAGGTAGAATGTGACACCGTATGTACAGTTCCTACCGTGAAGGTGCTCAGAGGCAAGAAGAGGGGAGGGAGGACATGACCTGGTCCCCTCAGGGGCCTCCCTTTGCTGCCCAGCCACGCATAATCCCAGGATCTGCAGAGGCCTAGGTCTCCTCCTGTTCTGGGCCAGCGTCCTTCTGTCCTGCCCATGTGGTCTAGTGCAGCATTCAAGTCCCGTCCTTGGAATTTAGGACGGAAGGTGTATAATTGAAGTAAGCCACGGGCATCAGCCCTCCTAACTGGCTGTATTCGCTGCCTTTAGCTGACCTCCAGGGGTGATCCCCTGAAAACCCTAATACTATAGGTATGCCCACATTTATTTACTTCAAAAATATGTTATTTATTTTTGGGGGAGAGAAAGAGAAGGGGGTGCAGAGGGAGAGGGAGAGAGAGAAGGAGAGGGAGAGAGAGAATCTCAAGCAGACTCTGCTGAAAGCAGAACCCAAAGCGGGGCTCGATCTCGCAACCCTGAGATCATGACCTGAGCTGAAATCAAGAGTTGGACCAGTAACTGACTGAGCCACCCAGGCGCCCCACAGATACGCCCACATTTAGTTGAAGCCCACACGGAGCAAGCACCAAGGCATGAATGACTGTTTTTTATCCTGTTTACTTCCCTCAGGGCCTAACACAATGTTATACACATGGCAGTATTTAATCAGTGTTTCAGGAACAAAGGCATTAATTCACAAATTAATGAATAAATCTCCATAATTATTAAATGCTTGTAGTTTCCAACCTGGAATCCCCAGGCTCTTAGACATCCACAATAAAACTCCTTTTGAGGGGCGCCTGGGTGGTTCAGTGGGTTAAAGCCTCTACCTTTGGCTCAAATCATGATCTCAGGGTCCTGGGATCCAGACCCGCATCGGGCTCTCCGCTCAGTGGGGAGCCTTCTTCCCCCTCTCTCTCTGCCTGCCTCTCTGCCTACTTGTGATCTCTCTGTCTGTCAAGTAAATAAATAAAATCTTTTAAAAAAAAAACTTCTTTTGAGCAGAAACTTGTATAGTCATTGTTGGAAAGGGGACCAATCTGGAAATGTATCAAGAAAAAGTCATCTATAATCCCACTCCTCATCGAACTTAGCATTTTATTATGTTTTCTCCCAGACTTTTCTCATAGTGTAGTTTTCTGACAAAACTGGTGTTACATATTGTCTAATTCTTGTATCACGTTTTGTAAATGTATCATTATTTAGAAACATATTTTTTTTAAAGAGTTTATTTATTTATTTGACAAACAAAGATCACAAGTAGGCAGAGAGGCAGGCAGAGAGAGAGGAGGAAGCAGGCTCCCCGCTGAGCAGAGAGCCCGATGTGGGGCTTGATCCCAGGACCCTGGGATCATGACCTGAGCCGAAGGCACAGGCTTTAACCCACTGAGCCACCCAGGTGCCCCTAGAAACATATTTTTTATGTATTTATTTATTTGACGGACAGAGATCACAAGTAGGCAGAGAGGCAGGCAGAGAGAGGGCAGCAGGCTCCCTGCTGAGCAAAGAGCCCAATGCAGGGCTCGATCCCAGGACCCTGAGATCATGACCTAATTTGAAGGCAGAAGCCCAACCCACTGAGCCACCCAGGGGCCCCTAGAAACTTATTATTATTTTTTTAACAATATTTTAAAGGATTTTATTTATTTATTTGACAGAGAACACAAGTAGGCAGAGAGGTAGGCAGAGAGAGAGGGGGAAGCAGGTTCCCTGCTGAGCAGAGAGCCCGATGCGGGGCTTGATCCAGGACCCTGAGATCATGACCTGAGCTGAAGGCAGAGACTTTCCACTGAGCCACCCAGGCGCCCCGAAACTTATTTAATATAAATTCTAAAGCATTATTTTAAAAATTATATAAAGCTCTGTTATATGGGTAGGCCCTAATCTGTTTAACCAGTCTCTTTCCGTTGGAAATGTATCTTGTTGCCAGTGTTTTTTAGATACATATTTTGAATGTTTTGTGACCATTCGATACATGCATTTTTTGCGGGTTAGACTATATTATATCTTCTTGCCTTTTCTCTATCAGAAGAAACTTTCCTCCCTCTTTCTCCTCCTTTCATGAGTTTTATCCCCCACTTCTGTGGTCACCTTGACCAAGACTTACTCTTCATACTTGCACACTAGAGATCATGCCTACCTTGCTCAACTAAATGCTGGACACCGTGTAATTACCTTTATGAGAGTTCATGGAGACTGGGAAATTTTCTGGCTCTTTTGATTGCTTGTATTCGTGACAGACAGCTCCCTGTCTCACTTCCTGTAAATGAGTGTGTGTGCATTTGAGAGCACGTATGTGCCCATATGGGTTGATAACTCCTATGTTGATGACAGCACATGTAGACACATGTGTGTACATACATATTTTTGTGTGTCGTGCATGTGATCAGAGAGGTGGGCCATGTAAAAAAGTGCTGTAACTTGCTTCCCTATAGGGCATTCTCTGCAGTTCTCTAGTGGTTTCAATTGTGGAGAAATGTCCCTGTTCTTTCCCTTTGTCTTCTTTATGGCTCTTCCCTCTGTGGTGATAAATGACCCCTTCCAACAACTACACTGGTATTTGCTCCCCTGGGAGACTGTCCAAGGGCAGTCAAAATTATTGTTTTGGCAACAGTCTGAGCTAGTGAATTATCAACTCAAAAACTGCTCCAGGACCAGTTGGAATCTTCTGGGTCATGGATGGGAGAGAGAACTCATTATATAGAAAAGAGATAGTGACTGCTGATTCTGAAGGAGGGAAAACCAAAGGACAGTTACTGATTGGCTTAAAGTTTGTAAATGGTGGCTGTTTCATTCATTGATAGTTGTCTCAACCATTAATATTAGCAGCAGCTTTAATTATATTTGCTGTAGCCTAAGGGGAAGCACTAGAATAGGTTTTAAAATTGAAAAAAAATCAGCCCAGTGCTTTATTCCTTTGGGCACTCTCTTTAGAGACCTCCCCTCTCTGACATTTGGTGTCCTGGTGAAGGCTTACAGATCCCCTGGGAGGCTATTCAGCAGTACTGCTGGTCTGCAGACTTCAGAAGCTGTCTGCAAAGCTGCTTTGAGGTGAAGGTCAATGGCAAGCCCTGAGAGACAAAATAAGAAATTGATGGAAAATATTACAGAAAAAATTTAGGTTAGACAGTAATTACAGTTTTCTAACCTGAGAAATTCAGGCTCCACTTACTTCAAATATTGGTACATCAAATTACTGAAGGTAACTTGAGCATAATTTGTTTTTAACTCTTTCTAAAGAAAAGTTAACAAGTATAAACCTGTCAAGAACAAACAACAACAGGGGCACCTGGGTGGCTCAGTGGGTTGGGGCCTCTGCCTTCGGCTCAGGTCATGGTCTCGGGGTCCTGGGATCGAGCCCCCCATTGGGCTCTCTGCTCAGCAGGGAGCCTGCTTCCCCCCGCCCCGCACCCTGCCTGCCTCTCTGCTTACTTGTGATCTCTTTCTCTGTCAAATAAATAAATAAAATCTTTAAAAAAAAAAAAAAAAAAGAACAAACAACAACAGAGCCAGCAATTCTTCCCAACACATTAGAAGTACACATTTATTTTTAAAAACACTAATTACTGGTGCACCTGGGTGGTTCAGTGGGTTAAAGCCTCTGCCTTCGGCTTGGGTCATGATCCCGGGGTCCTGAGATCGAGCCCCGCATCGGGCTCTCTGCTTAGCGGGGAGCCTGCTTCCCCCCCTCTCTCTGCCTGCCTCTCTGCCTATTTGTGATCTCTGTCAAATAAATAAATGAGGTCTTTTTTTTTTTAAGATTTTTATTTATTTATTTGACAGAGAGAGATCACAAGTAGGCAGAGAGGTAGGCAGAGAGAGAGAAAGGGAAGCAGGCTCCCTGCTGAGCAGAGAGCCCAATGCAGGGCTCAATCCCAGGACCCTAGGATCATGACCTGAGCTGAAGGCAGAGGCTTAACCCACTGAGCCACCCAGGCACCCCTGTTTGTTTGTTTTATTAATATATAATGTATTATTTGCTTCAGGGGTACAGGTCTGTGAATCATCAAATCATCAAAGCACTCACCATAGCACATACCCTCCCCAATGACCATAACCCAGCCACCCTATCCCTATCCCCCCCAACCCCCCAGCAACCCTCAGTTTGTTTTGTGAGATTGAGTCTCGTGGTTTGTCTCCCTCCCGATCCCATCTTGTTTCATTTTATTCCTCCCTGGGTTTGCTTTTTTTTTTTTTTTTTTTTTTTTTTTTTTTTTTTAAATATTTTATTTATTTATTTGAGAGAGAGAGAGACAGTGAGAGAGAGCATAAGCGAGGAGAAGGTCAGAGGGAGAAGCAGACTCCCCGGGGAGCTGGGAGCCCGATGCGGGACTCAATCCTGGGACTCCAGGATCATGACCTGAGCCGAAGGCAGTCGCTCAACCAACTGAGCCACCCAGGCGCCCCGGGTTTGCTTTTTTTTTAAGATTTTATTTATTTATTTGAGAGAGAGAGTGCAGGAGCATGAGCAGGGAGGGGGCAAAAGAAGAGGGAGAAGCAAGATTCCTGCTGAGCAAAGGGCCCCATGCAGGGCTCAATCCTGGCACTTCAGGATTGAGTGCCCCTAGGGGGCACCTGGGTGGCTCAGTCAGTTCAGCATCCAACCCTTGATTACAGCTCAGGTCATGATCTCAGGGGTCATGGGATCAAGCCCTGCTTCAGGCTCCACAGTTAACAAAGGGTCTGCTTGTCCCTCTCCCTCTGCTCCTCCCCACTACTCTGTCTCTTTTAAAAAATTAATAAAAGTAAAAAAAAAAAAAGAAAAAAAGCCATCTCTAGCTAGATTCCACACCAACTGTGTGACCATGGACAAATCACTTAACATGTCAGGGCTATTTCCTTATCTTTGAAATAAGAATGTGACAGTGGATGATGACTAGCTTCCTTTTGCTTCTGACAGTCAAGGACATTGAAATTAATTGTAGTTTACTGTAAAATGTAATTTAACTGGATGTATTCACTAAGAAGTGTTATAAAATGTCTTTGCCTGGATCAAGGAAGGGCAGCTTTCAGGGGCCCAGAGGTTGGAAGACCAGATTCAAGGCTCTGCCTTGTAGACTCGTAAATCTCCTGTTTGGAGGGGATTGTTTTGACACTTTTTCCTTATTGATTAAAATAGTCATAGTCCAGGGGCATCTCGGTGGCTCAGTCATTAACCATCTGCCTTCAGCTCGGGTCGGGATCCCAGGGTCCTAGGATAGAGCCCTGCATGGGGCTCCTGTTCAGTGGGAGGCCTCTTCTCCCTCTCCCACTCATCCTGCTTGTGTTCCCTCTCTCGCTGTGTCACTCTCTGCCAAATAAATAATAATAATTATTATTATAGCCCAGGGGCACATGGGTGGCTCAGTTGGTTAAGGTTCCACCTTTGGCTCAAGTCATGATCCCAGAATCCTGGGATCCAGTCTCACATCCCTGCTAAGCAGAGAGCCTGCTTCTCCCTCTCTCTCTGCCACTCCCCCTGCTTGTGCTCTCCCACGCTCTCTCTCTCTCTGTGTCAAATAAGTAAATAAAATCTTTTAAAAAATAATGAAAAATAAAGTTATAGTCCACAAAATATACAATATACAAAAAAATTACAAAATAAAATAGTTACATTCCAGAATGTTAGACATCAAGAATATGTTTCTACGATTTCATTTAATTATTTGACAGAGAGAAACACAGCGAGAGAGGGAACACAAGCAGGGGCAGTGGGAGAGGGAGAAACAGGCTTCCCACCCAGCAGGGATGCGGGGCTCGGAGCCAGAGGCAAACAGCCAACAACTGAGCCACCCAGGCACCCCAAGAATATTTATCTAAAACACACTATTTTGGGGACGCCTGGGTGGCTCAGTTGGTTAAGCTGCTGCCTTTGGCTCAGGTCATGATCCCAGGGTCCTGGGATCGAGTCCCGCATCAGGCTCCTTGCTCAGTGGGAAGCCTGCTTCTCTATCTGCCTCTGCCTGCCACTCAGCCTGCGTTTGCTCTCTCTCTCTCTCTGACAAATAAATAAATAAAACACACGATTTTGTTTTCTCCTGACTTCTCCCAGAAGCCTAGAGTTGACAGTGCCCTGGGAAACAAAGGCCCCAGCAGACTGAGCTGCAGACCCTTCTTGAGGTTAAGGTGGTGGTCTCGCCTGTGGGAAGGCGGAACGTGTGGTTTTGCAAGCATCTGCCTCTCTCCCCCATGCTGGGCTTTATTCCCCAACCTTCTCTCACTCTTCTCCCTGCAGTTGGAAAGGTCTTTCAAGTTCATGAGAGAGGCTGAGGACCAGCTGAAGGCCATCCCTCAGTTCTGCTTCCCCGATGCCAAGGACTGGGCTCCCGTCCAGCAATTTACCAGGTAGGAGCCGGCTTCTCCTTTCCACACCCTCAAAGGCTAAGGCAAGAACCAGGGAGGGTGTCGGAGAGGACAGACGCCATAGATCAGTCTTGTTGCCACCCAGCCTGATGGGCCGCAGGCAAGAGATGGCCCCCACCTGTGTTTTAAAACATCCCTGAAGAGAAGAACTGACTTACTAGCTACGCAGATTCCCAGGCCTCTCACTCAGTGGGGGCATATGTTTGGTTCCTAAGCCTCTGTGAAGGGCAAAGTAATTCTTGGTCTAGGAGAAGCTAGAGGAACATCACCTAGCTCCCTTCCTTGTACGTGCTCTGGAAACATTTAATAGTGGCCCATCCAGCTGTGAGATCCTGACAGTGTTCCTGCTTTAACCAGGTTGTTGCAAACCCGTATCATTTTATCAGATGTTCCAGCGACTGACCAAACTCAGAGGGCTGCTTATCCTGTGTTTGAGGCCCGGCAGTCTCTCAGGGCAGTCCGAGCCCCTCAGGGGGCTCAGAGGAGACAGTTCTCAGGGAGGGTCACCCCAGAGGCAATTCCAAGAGGGACACAGAACTGTCCGTCTCTTTGGCTGCTCCTGCACTGAGTCACGTCCCTGGAGCAGCGGATGCCATCACACCCTTGAGCTCACAGAGGGCAGCAGTCCCAATCGATGCTCCATAGCGACGGGACAGCTCAGGTTCTGAACGCTAGGAGACCACATCCTCTCAGGGTGCAGGGACACTGTAGGTGTCCCTCCCCCCTCCTCTGAGGCCCAAGTCTTCAACTTTGAAAAGAGGCTGAAGCGTCCCAGGCACACGGTGCAGTAAACTTCAGGGAGATGCTTCCCTTTGCCCCCAGACTTTTTTGGAGCTTTTGGGGAGAGCTTCCCTCTTCCTGGCACAGATCCCCAAACTACAGATGCACAAAGCTCCTGCACAGAGATGGACAGACAGGACAGGGAGCAGCCCTTTCTGCCAGACCCCTCCAGAATGTCCCTTGAGTGCTCTCTGCCAGGTGTCTTATTTTGTTTGGCTATGTAATGCACTTTTGTTTCCCCGACCTCAGTGAAACCTTCTCATTTGTCTTAACTGGAGAAGATGGGAGCAGACGGTTCGGTTATTGCCGAAGACTACTGGTTAGTACACTACTGTTGGTCCGCCAGGGCTCTGGGCAGCGCTGGGTCTGGGGCTTCGCCATGTGCCACAAGAGAAGAGGAAGGAAGCATGACAGGTTCATCAGCAGAGTTAAAAAAAGATTTGGGCGTTCATCGCAATCTTACTGGTAGGAAGGAACTAGAACTCCGTCTCCTTTAGAAAGAAAATACTTCCTCCGTTATTTTCCCTGTAGAAGAACTTTCTGTCCTTAAGCCAAATGTTCTTTCTAATAAAATGTGCTAGACAGACCCAGAGAGCTTCTAGCGCACACATTCATAATGGTTGCTAAGGAACAAAGAAGGATAGTTCTGTTGTTCATGCTATAGATCCTTCAAGAACATCTTCTTCAGAACAGTCACCGGTAGGAGTCAGGATTGTAATCCAATGAAAGGATCATGCTAGCCCATTTTAGAGCTTGTCTTTTTGAGACCCATTCTTTTGAAAATCTTTAGTAAGAGCAAATCATTTTGCACTGAGTGTATTTGAATTTTCAAAATAAGCTGATATAATTTAGAGTCAAGATGATGCACAGCACATAGTAGGTATCCAGTAAATATTTGTTGAATGAATTAGTGAATAAAAAGCAGGGATAATAATTTAAAAACTTAAGTGGGATAATAAGGTTTGGGGATGAAATTACTTTGACATATTGAGATTGATTTTCATTTAAATGGTTTGAAAATTAGCTTAAAATGCAGTTTCCAAAAAGGATGTTCAGAAATAATTTCTGATTTGGAATTATCATTATAATAAACAACATTTGGTTTCAACATAGCTCCTTAAGAGGAACCACAGGGATTGGGTAAACAAGTTACGCCTCCTTTTTGGTTCCATAGGCCATATTGAGCACCTACTGTGTGCACAACACCCTTGATTTGGTCACTTCAGGAGAATATAAATGTATATACTCCATGACCAGAAGTGCTCCCCACTTATAAAATGGGGTTGGTAACTCTTACCTAATGGGTTCTCAGAAGCGGCAGTGAGGAAAGGTCTGGCACGTGATAGGCACTTCAAAATGTTTGGGTTCTCTACTTTGAGATGGTAACACTCATGATTTCCTTGTTTCACTCCAAAAAGCCCGGTGGCAAAGGGAAGCGTCTCCCTGAAGTTTACTGCATCGTGAGCCGCCTGGGATGCTTCAGCCTCTTTTCAAAGGTGAGGACTTGGGCCTCAGAGGAGGGCGGAAGGGAAGGCAAGGCAGAGCCAGGGAGGACACAGGAAACACCTTGACTCCTGGTACTTGTGTAATCGTATCCCAGTATAGTTTCCTTCCCTCTTCCTCCCCCCTCACCTCCTGTGTTCTCCTATCATTAGTGCCCGCAGTGAGAGCCGGTGAAGGTCAGGGCCCAGAGAAAGGGGGTGTGGGGAGAGTCGAAGTAATTGCAGAGGGTCTTCCCAGAGTATTCCCTGTGCTTTACTTACTTCCAAGCATTGTTTTTTGTCATATTTGCTTTTTTATGACAAAAAGGCCGCTCTGATGGATGGATGTACAAGCATCTATGTATATGTGTGGCGTGGGGGAGGTATTTGTTACTGTAGTAGGGCTCTAAATGGATCCAAAACTTACTCTCGTCCTCTTTCGGAGAAGAGAAGCCAGTGTATCAAGACCTAGGAATTGCCGGACTGTGCTGGCTCGTCCATCCCACTATTCTGTGTGGGTAGAGGGGAGCTAATTACTATTGTGTATGATGATAATCTCAAAATTAGGTACAATCCAACATTCATATCCTACATTAACCAGACACGAGTATCTAATCCATAAAATGATTTTAAATTCACCTTGTATTTTCAGTCTGAGCTTTGTTTTGGAGAATTGAAGTCCTATGTCTACTGTCCTCGGATGGCAGACAGCACTTCCTAAAAGCATTCTGAAATGTGTCTTCCTCCTGCCCACCCTCCACTTATTCTCAGAGGAAGCCTGACCTATACTGATCTAGTGTAATCACTTGCCTTGGTAGAACTTGCACTTCTGTGCAAGTCTGTTAGAAATAAAGAATGGTATCGATGTATCTGCGTTCCTGCCTCTACTCCACTGGGGTGATAAGCCTTTTACACGGAAGTTGGTCACTTACAGGCTCTAGGACAGTTACGCATTTCTGCTCACCCCGGTCTCTCTCGGGGGGTAATTTAAACATGGAAATAAGGCTGTGTCCCAGCCTTTGTTTTTGCACAAACGCTGTTGGAAGGTAGAAGTGAAACAGCTGAGTTAACCCAGCATCCAGTGGTGGCTTTGGAATTCACCTGAGCTCCATTGTTTGTCACGGACGGGGAATGACAAGCATGTGAACTTACTAACACCGTGTGATGCACAGTTCTGTGTTTTCATGGCATTTCTGTGACTAGGGATATTGTGAGAGTGTGGTATGATGCCATGCCAAAGACCAAATAGCAAATACGCTGGCTAGAACCAGAAACAGAGCTTTGGCTAACTGATCTCTAAAACTTGAGCTATTCCCAGGTGAGGGACAAGGATGACTAAAATGACATAGTGTCCTTTGGTACAGAGAAAGGAATCAGGGTGCCTGGCTTGCTTAGTCCCTAAAGCATGTGACTCCTGATCTCCGGGTTGTGAGTTTAAGCCCCACATTGAAAAACAGAAACAAAGAACGAAGGGATGGAGAGAGGGAGGAAAGGAAGGAAGGAAGGAGGGAGGGAAGGGGAATCGTCTTCAAGAAGAACAGCTTTAGGGATGACTGGGTGGCTCAGTTGGTTAAGCAGCTGCCTTCGGCTCAGGTCATGATCCCAGCATCCTGGGATCGAGTCCCACATCGGGCTCCTTGTTCTGTGGGGAGCCTGCTTCTCCCTCTGCCTCTGCCTGCCACTCTGTCTGCCTGTGCTCGCTCTCTCTCTCTCTTTCTGACAAATAAATAAATAAATAAATAAATAAATAAATAAATAAAAAGAAGAAGAAGAACAGCTTTAGGGGCGCCTGGGTGGCTCAGTGGGTTAAAGCCTCTGCCTTCGGCTCAGGTCATGATCCCAGCGTCCTGGGATCGAGCCCCGTGTTGGGCCTCTCTGCTCAGCAGGGAGCCTGCTTCCCTTCCTCTCTCTCTGCCTGCCTCTCTTCCTATTTGTGATCTCTGTCTGTCAAATAAATAAATAAAATCTTTAAAAAAAAAAAAAAGAAGAAGAACAGCTTTAGAATCTCTGAAGAAAAGTATCCCATTAAGTATCACTACAGTCACGCCGCGTAACAAACCACAGTGGCTTAAAGCACCAGTCATTTATTCTTAGAGACGCGCAGGTCATCTGGGGCTTGGCTTGGCTCTTTTCCACTGGGCTCACTCATGCCTTGTGGGTAGGCTGGGAGTTGGCTGATCCAGACTGCCTGATCTCTGCTGTCGGAGGCTGCTCTAGAGTGGGGCTCATCCACATGTCTGTCAGCCTCCTTAGACAGTGAGCTGGCCCAGGTGTGCAGTTCTTGTGGCTGAGGCAGAGGCTCAGGATGGCAACCAGAAACACATGAGACAGGCCTCCTAAAGCCCAGGCTTAGAACTGGTGCAGTGTCACTTCTGCTTCAGCGTCCCTCATCCTTCTTTATTAGCCCCTAACCAGACTTTTAAGACATTTTTCCCTGAATTGCCTCCCCACTGCCATAAGACTCTTTCTAATTTTTTGTTATGTTATTTTTTATTGTGCTAAAATAAACATAGAAGTTACTATTTTAGCCATTTTTTTTAAAGATTTTATTTATTTATTTGAAAGAGAGGCAGTGAGAGAGAGCATGAGCGAGGAGAAGGTCAGAGGGAGAAGCAGACTCCCTGTGGAGCTGGGAGCCTGATGCGGGACTCGATCCCAGGACTCCGAGATCATGACCTGAGCCGAAAGCAGTCGTCCAACCAACTGAGCCACCCAGGCGTCCCTATTTTAGCCATTTTTAAAAGATTTTATTTTTAACTAATCTCTACACCCAACTTGGGGCTTGAACTCACAACCCTGAGATCAGGCGTCACATACTGTACTGACCGAGCTGGCCAGGTGCCCCCACTGTAGCTGTTTTTAAGTGTACAGTTGATTAGCATTATGTTCATTCACATTGTGTGCAGCTGTCACCGTCATCCATCTCCAGAATTGTTTGATATCCCTGAATCAAAACTCTGCACCCATTAAACACTAATTCCCCGTTCTCTTCTTTCCCTAGCCCTGGCAACCACCATTCTGTGTTCTGTCTCTATGAATCTCATTACTGCAGGATCTCATATAAATGGAATCATATATTTATCCTTTTGTCACTGGCTCATATCACTTAGCATATGTCTTCAAGGTTCATCCGTATAAGAGCATATGTCAGAATTTCCTTCCCTTTTAAGGCTGAATAACAGTCTGTTATTTGTAGGTATCACATTTTCTATATCTATTTATCTGTAGATGGACATTTGTGTTACTTCTGCATTTTAATTATCATGAGTCTTGCTGCTTTGAACATGGCCATTCAGATATCTGAGTCCCTGCTTTCAAATCTCTGAGCTATGTACCCATATATGTGGAATTACTGGATCACAGTAATTCTAGGTTGTTGGGGTTTTTTTTTTTATAGATTTTATTTATTTATTTGACAGACAGAGATCACAAGCAGGCAGAGAGGCAGGCAGAGAGAGAGGAGGAAGCAGGCTTCCTGCTGAGCAGAGAGCCCGACACAGGGCTCGATCCCAGGACCTTAGGATCACGACCCGAGCCGAAGGCAGAGGCCCCAATCCACTGAGCCACCCAGGCACCGCCTAATTCTAGGTTTTTTTGAGGAACTACCATACATAAAATCTTTTTAATTTTAATAATAAATTTCATTTAACCCATATATCCAAAATATCATTATTTCAACATATAATCAAATAGTCATTGATATTTTACATTCTTAATTTTGTATTCTGAAATCTACTGAAGATTTTACATTTATAACACACTTCAATTAAGACTAGCCGTATTTCAAGTGTTCAGTGGCTACATGTGGTATTGTTATAAATGGTATTTTAATTTAAACTCTTTGATCTACAACTAGATTATGGAGGGTCTTGCATTTAGATTTTTTTTTAAAGATTTTATTTATTTATTTGACACTCAGAGATCACAAGTAGGCACAGAGGCAGGCAGAGAGAGTGGGGGGGAAACAGGCTCCCTGCTGAGCAGAGATTCCCGACTCTGGGCTCGATCCCAAGACCCTGAGATAATGACCTGAGCCAAAGGCAGAGGCTTAACCCACTGAGCCACCCAGGCGCCCCGCATTTAGATTTTTTAAAATAATAGTTTTATTAAGATACAGTTTGCAAACCATGAAATTTGCCCATTTAAATTCTAGGATTCAAAAAAATAAATAAGGGATGCCTGGGTGGCTTAGTCGGTTAAGCCACTGCCTTCAGCTCAGGTCATGATCCCAGAGTCCAGGGATCGAGTCCCATATCAGGTTCCTTGTCCAGCAGGAAGCCTGCTTCTCTCTCTGCCTCTGCCTGCCACTCTGCCTGCTTGTGCTCTCTCTATGACAAATAAACAAATAAAATCTTAAAAAAAAAAAAAAACTTTAAAAATAAATAAATAAGGGGGCGCCTGG